CCCAAGAGGCTTGCCAAGCAACCCTGGAGCCCTTCCGTGGCCCAGGAGGTGGCTGCCAGACTCCAGATGTTTCAGCCCTCACCACCCCCACTGTTCCCAGCATCCTGGCTAGGTGGTGCCATGGGCCTAGTTCCCACCCCACCCCCCACCTGCATGATAAGAACACACTTGCTGCCAGCTGCAGCCAGGTGGGCAGCCCCAGTAGGGAGGAATGTGGGGATTCCAGCTGTGGCATTCCAGCTGTGCCCAGCTCCCTGGTAGCGCCCTCCTCCCTGGAGATTTCTGGAAGGCCAGGTGTGTTGTAAGACCTGGGATCTGGGGGGACAGGGAGCAGCTGGGGTATCCTCCAGAGCACTCCGTCTGCATCCCCACAAATTCTTCCCAACTGGAAGCTATGGAGGGAGAACTGAGTGAGTGTGTGTGTGTAGGGGTTGTTGTGAGTGTAGAGGAGAGGGGTCTGAGTGTGGGAAGGGAGCTCTGAGTGTGCATGTGTATGTGAATATGAGGGCAAGTGTCCTGTTTGAGTTAGCATGGGTGAATGTGATGTATAAGTATGTGTGCATCTAGGGAAGAGAGTGTGTACACACAGAGAGGGTGTTGTGGTGGGACTGTGTGCATGGAAGTGTCTGGGCATTGAGTGTGTGTGTGTATGTGAATGGAGGGATAAGTGCTGTTGTGTGTATGTGAATAAATAGAATATATATTGTGGTGTGACTGTGTGACTAAAGGATGGGTGTCGTGTGGATAAATGAAAAGATGGAGGCTGTGGGTATATATATGGAAGGTTTTGTGCGTGTGCGTATGTGTGAATGAAAGGATAGAGTGTGTGTGTAGGAAAGAAAGAATGGAGGAATGGCTATTGTGTGTGCAAATGAAGGCTGGGTGTTGTGTGTGTATATAAATAAATGGCTGGGTGTTGTATGTGTGAATGAAAGACTGGTATTGCGTGTGGATGAAGCCTGAGTGTTTTTTTGTGTTTGTATATAAAAAGGCTGGGTGTTGTGTATGAGTGAACGGCTGAGTATTATATGTGTGATTGAAGGCTGGGTGTTGTGAATGTGTATAATGAATGGCTGGGTGTTGTATACATGAATGAAAGATGACTGTTGTGTGTATGTGTGACTGGGTGATGTGTGTGTATAAATGAATGGGTGTTGTATGTGTGAAGGAAAGATGGGTGTTGGGTGTGTGTGTGTGTACACATATCATAAGCCTGGGTGTTGTGCAAATGTGTATAAATGAAAGCTAGGTGTTGTGTGTGGAAGGCTGTGTGTCATGTGTGTGTGAATGAAGGCTGGGGTGTCGTGTGTGTGTGTGTGTGTGCGCGGGTGTGGTGTTTGTATATAAAGGCTGGATGGTGTGTGTGTGTGATGTGTGTGGATTAAGGCTGGGTGTCATGTGTGTGTGTGGGGGGTCCTAGGATGCTAGTTGAGTAGACTTTAGGTCAGGGACTGCCTCAGGACAGGAGGATGGGGAGGGAGCACCCGGCCCTGGGCAGACAGGTGTGTGGGGAGAATCACCAGGGTGGGGGGCTTCTGACTTGTCCTCATAGCTATTTGCAGAGGGGCAGGGAGGGTCTGCTTGGCTCTCTACTTTTTTTTGCAGTTTTTGGCCAGGGCTGGGTTTGAACTCGCCACCTCTGGCATATGGTGTCAGCGCCCTACTCCTTTGAGCCACAGGCACTGCCCTGCTTGGCTCTCTAGATCTCCCCAATGTCCCAGCTCCATGGAGGGTCCCAGATATTCCTGAAACCCTCCATCATTTGTCCCCACAGCTCCCTGTTTAATCTCCCCATACAGACCCTCCCCTCTAGTAGCCCCTTCACCCAGGCCCCACAGATCTCCCCCAAATCCTCTGACTCTCTTCCCAGCCATCTAGCCCCCATCCCCTTCTGGGCTCACATGTCTCCAGCTCCTCCTCCCAGACATTGCAGGCTCTCTTGCCTGCCTCTTCTAGCTCTTCTTTCCCATCCCTGGACCCCTACCTACCTTACCCTTTTCAGGGCCATCCAGGCCTCCAGCCCCTCCAGCCCCTTTCTGGCCCCTTCTCAAGCCCCAGCCCACGTGGCCCGTCCTTCCTTGTACTCCAACCCCTTCCAAGCCCTCCCTTGTTCTTCCTCGGAGCTCCCTCCCCATTCTGGGGCTTCAGTGGTGTGGAAGCGCAGGAGCAGCAGCTCTGAAACTTTAAACGGTGTTAAAAGTTTCTGTTTACCAGAAGCCCTTGAATTTTTAAGGACGTATCGATTCCCTCTGCTTCAGCCTTGCATTGGTGGTGGGGCAGCTGTAGGCACGGGGTGGGGGGGGGGGAGGTCAGGCCAGTGGGATCCCAGGCACTGAAGCCCTTCCTTGGAATGATAGGTGCCATACCAAGACAGCCTCAGGCACACAGAGACCCCTTCCTGACACACACACAGTCACACACACAGACTGATGTGGTTTAACACACATACACAGACCTAGACATATAGAGACCCTCCCTGACAAACACACACCTCCCTAGTCACACACACTGACACCATCCAATACACACATAGACACACAAACCTGACACACAGAGAACCCCCCCCAACACACACCCCTAGTCACATACACTGACACAGTCTGACACATACAGACACACATCCCTGACACACTGGAGCCCCCGCCCCTTGACACCCCAGCACACACCTATGTATACACACTCTGGTGCTCTGGTGCACACAGACCCTTATCACTTGCTCTGACTACAGACATAAACACACCACTAGTGACACTGATTGACACTTTCTCTCCCACAGACCCTGATCACAAACAGACCCACTAGGACCTGGGAACACTCACTATGTGATCACACCCACTCCAAGAAATGTGGAGTCTTGTCTCCCTGCCACTGAGCACCATGCACCATGCTTAGCACACACAGTGACACGTGACAGAAAATTTTCAGGGCTGATGTACACACTCACCCAGGCACCCATGCATTTCTTATCTCCAACATTTCTTATCAGTCCCAGACCACCATCCACTGACCTCGATACATGTGATACCCCCTGGAATATCAGGCCCCAAGGACACACTGCCACTACTCTGCCTCAATGATGTATTTGCAAGCAGGAGCATACCCTCTTGGAGATATTTATACACACACACACACCCCCTCTTGGGCACTGACACACTGTCTAACAGACGATGGACAACTGAGAATTGCCATAGCCTCTTGGCCTGGGAAGGCAGGAAGGTGCTGGTTATATCTGGCAGCAGGTGAAATTTTTGTCTTAGCAGGAGCTGCCTGGGGGCTGCGGGCACCTCCTCTTTGCCCACCCTGGGGGACTATCCAGGAGGGGGAGTGGCCCACTGCCCCTATTCTGGGGTCCCTAGTAGTACTTCTTCCACTGCTTTTTGCTCTGGAAATAAGAGTCAGGGGGCTGCAAGAAAGGACTGGAAACTCATCACTCTGTGTGTGTGTGTGCACAGACACACGCATCCCCATGCACCTGACACCCCCATACTCATTTCTATCCCTGAGAGCTAGGATGTGTCCTGGTGTATTCCCATGATCAGGGTCATGTTGCAAACGTATGTGTTGGGGGGGGGCTATGCTATGGCAGGGGCCTTGGTTGTATGTGTGTGATACCCGTGTGTGTGGCAGGTGATTCTTCCAGGGGAACTGTCAGCCATCGCATATAAGGTCAGTGTGCCCAAGGCCTGGGGTACATCTGGGCAGCCCAGTGTATGATGGGTGTGCTTATGCGTTCTGTTGTGACTGCAGGGTTGCATTATGTCCATGATATTCTATATCTCTTTGTATCAAGATCCTCTCTCTGTTGTTTGACCAGTAAGTCCAGGTGTTTGATGGTGAGTGTTTGTGTGACAATGTCTTGGTGCATCTTCCTTTCATCAGTTGTAGTTTTGTATGTTGGGGTGTATTGCTGAAACTGCCAGTGTGTTTTGGTGTGACTATGTATGTGTGTGTCTGTGTGTAGGAGTTGTGTGTCTGGAAAGTGTCCAGATGTGGTTGTGTGATCATGTGTATTTCAGTGTTCTGCAGGAACAGAGTTTTGTCAGTGTTCCTACATCAGTGTGAGTCTGAGTGTGTCATCATGCACTGGTGTGTTTTGATGTCTATCAGGGCATATCTATGTGAGGTCTGTGTTGGTGTGTGTCAGTGGGTCACTGCAAATCTACCCGCAGCTCCTTGTTATGTATGTGGGTACTATGATGTGGTGTCTGTGCATGTCAGTGTGTGGGTCGTGTCAGTGTGTGTGTAGGGGTTGTGTGCCAGGGCTTGTATCTTGTGTGCATTGGTGTCTGAGTGTGCTTTGTCCGAGCGTGGAACGCGTGGCCATGTGTGACACGAGGGGGATCCGATCCCCGCCGCGTGTCAGCGTGTGTCTGCGTTGGAACGCGGGCCAGCACGTGTCAGGGCGGCCGCGTCGGTGTGCGCCCCCGCGCGCGCGTGTGCGTGCGTTCACGTGTGAGTGTGTG